GGTGAGTAATTTATGGGCTAATTTTTGGGTGAACTAACCCTTTAACCTATTCTTCTTATCGGCAAGACACATCGGCATAATTTTTCATATCAGGCCGATGCCGGTATGTACATTTTAAAGCCATTATCGGCAGATTCCGATATCGGTCCGATAATATCATGCATCCCTAAACAAAGATGCAATTCACAACTTATGCAGAGAAATAATGCTGGCTGAGTGGAAGTGAAGCTTTATTTTCAAGCATTTATACTTTTGCTCCAAGTAATATTTGCAATGTAGTATTAGGCTTGTGTTGTAATATTTACTGTAAACAATTCTGATTCATTTTTTCCCTACATAATTACATACTGAAATATATTTTGTGTTGGGAAATTTACCTGTTAGGCAGTATGTTTCTATATTTATATATCTCATATCCTGTGGAGAGAAAAAAAAAATTCAATAAACATTAAATGCGTCCGCCTATACGATTTACATACCTATATCCTAAAAACTAAATCTTTGCAACTGTAAAAACCTGGAAATGTTTGCAACATTTTACGTTGAAGTATTGGCTGTCAGTCGATGATGCCCTCTGGTGGTTGAAAAAAGCAGCATTGTTATTGGATACTCCTGTAGTTAAAAATTCTGTGAGCAATCTAGTCAGATTGTGATGCGTCAGTTATCGTACAGTCAGTGTGATTTAATGGTGGCAACATTGATCAGAACTGATGTGCCTTATCTTGGACAAACATGTTAAAACTTTAATCTTTTCCCCACAGACATGGTTTGATAACATGGGCCGAGCAGGCGAGTATAAGATCAAACCCTTTGATGGCGATGACTACACCTGCATCACGTTCCAGCCGGATCTGGCAAAGTTTAAGATGCAGGCATTAGATAAAGACACTGTCGCACTGCTGACTCGACGAGCATATGACATCGCTGGGTCCTCTAAGGGTGTCCGTGTCTTTCTCAACGGCAAGAAGCTGCCTGTGAGTATATAACTGGTTTTTGCTCTTGACCCCATAACATTTTTCTGTTTGTTTGCATCACTGTATCTTCCAACTAAGTTTAATTTCCTTTATCTTTTCAGGTTAATGGTTTCCGTAGCTATGTGGACCTGTATCTAAAGGATAAGGTGGATGAGACCGGTTCTCCCCTGACAATAGTCCATGAGATTGTGAATGAGCGCTGGGAGGTGTGTCTTACCCTTAGTGATAAAGGGTTCCAGCAAGTCAGCTTTGTTAACAGCATTGCCACGACTAAGGTAAACATCTTCAGCTTTGCAATTTGGCATTATGTTCAGTTTTCAAAAGGCCTGTTTACAATGTAGGGTGTCCGCGGGTCCTTAAAGGGATAGTTCACCCAAAAATGAAAATTTGATGTT